AAAAACCCAACAACAACGCTCAGACTGCCGCCGCCTGAACTGCTGAACTGAAAACAAAAAAGTCGCCCGGACTGTGCTGCCCCAAGAATGGACGGAATGCCGGCCCAGGCATGTGCTTCCTCCGCTGGTGCCTGGAGCAGGCCGCAGCCTGGTTGCGACAGCTGATCGCTGAGCTGGGGCAGCTGCTCCACCCGCATGCAAGAGGGCGTTAGAGTAGGCCAGAGCGGCTGCATAGGCTGGCAGCCAATCAGAGAAGGGCCAAATGAGAGCCAATCAGGGCCGAGATTAGAGCCAGCCAATCAGGGCTAAGATAGACCCTATATAACGGCTGCCCAGGTGAGCAGCAGGCAGTCGGTCCCAGACCTTCATGGGAGAAGGTCTGTCTCCAGACCAGGAGAACAGCATCTCGGAAAGAGCAGTGCTGGGCAGGCTCAAGGGGAGCATACCACGGCTCCGGCCCAAGACCTGCCAGACTGCGGGCCCTGATAGAAAGGGCCTAGAGAGGAAGTGGCCCAGGGACACTTGGACAAGGGGAGAGCACGGAGGCTGCCACTAGAGGATCCCTGGGTTGGGACCCAGAGTAGTCGGTGGGCCTGGGTCCCCCCCCTTCCCTCTTGTACTGCACCTGGCCATGAGGTGGCTGAGTTAAACTGTAACCGGCCCTTGAGACAAGGGGCCAGACTTTGGGGGTTGTGGTTGGCCACTGAGGCAGGTGAAAGGACTGTTGCTAACCTGCTTTCCCCTCTCCGAAAGGAGGTGAGGATGGATTAGGGGGCACTGCCGGAGGGCAGTGGCCTGAAGAAGGACACCATCAAGCAGACTAGGCAGATTGTGCCATATTGAGATACAAAATGATGGAGAAAAGAAACTTCTATTGGAGGGCCTGGGTGGCTCGGCTTGTCGAGCAGCAGAGGGAGTTGTTCTGGCTGCTGTGGAGGTCAGCACCCAGACTAAACAAGAGATCTGGCACCAAGGGCGAGAGGCTGGGGCCGAGAACGCTGAACTGCTTCGCCTACAGGCGATGGGGACACTAAAGGAGGGAGAGTCCCTACTGGGAGGGGGCAGAGAGGCCCCACCCAGAAAAGGCACCCCCTGTGAGAGTAACAGAGGGGCCCCCCAGCTTATTCGGTCTGTGGGGAGCTGGGGCACCTGAAGAGAGAGTGGCCCTACAAGACTCCCAAGGCCCGGGCCCAAACAAGCAGGAGTAGGGACGTAGCAGGGGAAAGATCCAGAAAGTGCTTCCACTGCCACCAAGGAGGACATTTAAAGAGGCGCTGCCCCTTGAAGCAGAAAGGGAGAGTGTCCGAGACAAGGGCTCGGTCAAAGACCAGCCCCAGGGAAGGGGTGGTGAAGATGGAGGCCCCTAGAGAGAAAGGGGCTGGGGCAGAGAGGCCCCACCGAAATGAGGGAACCCACATAGGAGCCAGGAGGGCCCATGTGGGAAGCCAAACAGAAGTAGGAACCCACGTAGGACCAGGGCGTTCTACAGTGGGAACCAAGACCCTAGAGGTGGGAAGCTGGTGGCTCCAGACTTTGGAGGGCCTGCGAGAGGAAAGGGATGCCCTGCAGGCCCCGCTGCGAAGGAAGCTGGGGCGATAGGGACCCCTTTCCTCCCCTCCCCCGTGAGCATTTTTAAGGGGGAGGGTTTGTAGTGGGGCAACTGCCCCACCCCCACATGAGAGGGGGCTAGAGTAGGCCAGAATGGCTGTGCAAGCCGGCAGCCAATCAGGGAAGGGTCTACTGAGAGCCAATCAGGGCCGAGATTAGAGCCAGCCAATCAGGGCTAGGCTAGGCCCTATATAATGGCTGCCCAGGAGAGCAGCAGGTAGTCTGGCCCAGAACTTCATGAAGGAAGGCCTATCTCCAGAGCAGGAGACCAGCACCTCGGGCTGGGCAGTACTGCACCTGGCCATCTGCTGGCTGAGACAAATTGTAACCGGACCTTGAGACAAGGGGCTAGACTGTGGGGGTTGCGGTTGGCCACTGAGGCAGGTGCAAGGACTGTTACTATCCCCTACCCCTTGGAATGGTGTGGGGCTGGACTAGTGGGCATTTCTGGAGGGGTAGTGGCCTGAAGGACACAGTCAAGTGGGGAGCAACGTGGGTCCAGATGCCAATGGAGGACAAGAGACAGACGGGACACCGCCAGCAGAGGGTGCTCCCCATGGACTGAGCTAATTCCCGGAGCGACCAGCGGGAGGTGCCATGGTGGTGAGTCCCAACCCGGTCACAACCGCCTAGCCCTATTGTGGGTCCCCGCTACCCTGCAGACTCTGGTCCGGCCCAGACTGGGCCAGCCGGAGTGGCCTCCCTCTGAGTGGGAGAGTGAGAGACCCCTACAGGGAACTAGTGGAAGGGGAAATGGAGCCCCCTAGCACTCACAGAAACTCTCTCCCCTCTCTGTGGAGCAGGGTCCTTCCCTCTGCCCCTCAAATTCCTTCATATGGGGAAGGAGCTCTTTCCCTCGCACCCACTCCCCTCCTCCTTTCCTTGGTCTACCCCCCTCCCATTCCCCATGCGCCCATGCAGAGCTCTCCCTGCCCCATATGGTGCAGAAAGGCCCTTGTGTCAGGGCCACAGCCCCACTGGAGCTCGGAAAGCTCCACTTTTGAGGAGGTGGGGGTGGGACAGAGGCTCAGGGCTAGCTTCACCTCCTGCCCTTTATTCTCCCCTTGGCCCTTCTGACAATGCGGTTCTGGCTGAACCCAACTGAGAGTGCCATCTCAGGACAAATTGCTCAAAT